GGTTACGTTGGCAGGTTTCACTGTCTGTTACATGCCAACTGCTGGGGTAAGGCTGCAGGCTGTTTGCATTGGCTGCTGTTCTGTGCAGCAGCAGAGGACTCAGCTGGGCTGTCGGGGTGACTCGGGGTGACTCAGAGTGACAGGGCTGGGGGGCAGGCAGTGGTAACAAGCTGGGAACTCCTGTGCTACACCTGCCTGTGCTCCATACATCTCTTTTGAGCAGAAAGAGATTTCCAATGTAGTTGGAGTGTTAAACCCTCAGCGCCTTGAGACAGGTTTTTAAAATTGGGTCATAAGGAGGAGGGAAAAAACTTGTTCATCTTGGCCTCTGAGAATAGAACAGGAAGCAGTGGGCTTAAACTGCAGCAACGGAGGGTTAGGATGGACATTAGGAAAAAGTTCCATCTATCAAGGTGGTTAAACACTGGAATAAATTGCCCAGGGAGGTTGTGGAATCTCCATATGTGGAGATATTTAAGAGCAGGTTAGATAAATGTCTATCAGGGATGGTCTAGATAGTATTTGGTCCTGCCATGAGGGCAGGGGAATGGACTCGATGACCTCTCCAGGTCCCTTCCAGTCCTAGTATTCTATGATTCTATGCTTTGTTATTTTTTCAAGGCCTACCAGAATGTCTATCAGGGATGGTCTAGATAGTATTTGGTCCTGCCATGAGGGCAGGGGAATGGACTCGATGACCTCTCCAGGTCCCTTCCAGTCCTAGTATTCTATGATTCTATGCTTTGTTATTTTTTCAAGGCCTACCAGACTGTTTGTTGTTTTTTTTAGTGTATCCCGTACAGACTAACTAGGGTAACCCCCTGAATCTTCTGCAATTTTTTTGTTCTACTAGCTCTTTGTGCAGCGAACAGTCCTATGGTATTGTCTCCTGGTAACTGAGCAGAAGCTGTGTCATATATTGATGTTCAGGAGGTTCAGGAAGATAATCCTGGTGGAAAAGCTATGCAAGACTTAGGGAAAAGTCCTGAGTGTGAGATGGTGACCATTTATGCCTATCAGCTTTTGCAGGAGCATGGCTGAAGTCACTGACACACTCAAGTGGCTATTAGTGGAAATCTAGTGTTTGCCCAGTCACCCATTTGTGCTCCCAACCCCTTCCTCCCATCAGCTAAAGTTGCTGTCTCTGTTCACTTAGAATGTACCAGACCCTTCCTGGGGAGAGCATGCAGATCCCGAGAGAAGGAAGAGAAGCCTGTAGGATGATCCATATCTCTGGATTCAGACAACACCAGCAGGCAAATCACTTCAGCTTCTCTTGCGGAGATTCCTGGGGCTCAGAGTCTGTCATTGGAAGCATGTGATAAGTTAAGAGACTTGTATTGAATTCAAATCTCTAAATACGGACCGATGTCATTGAAATCAATGTTATTGTATAAAGAACCCTTAAGCATTTCTAGCCCTTCTCCCAAGTGTTAGTGGCGTAATCTGGACTCCCAGGAGTGGTGAAAGTACATACATACATATTTATATATATATATTTGCACACATCATGCTGCAATGGGTCACACACAGAAGTGAAAGGCCACAATGGGTGTCTGTAAGGTCACAAAGGTAAATTCACACATTCCCCCACAGGTTGGGGAACTCCTAGCCCCAGATACTAAAGGGTCTAGGAGCTAATGAGGATTCAAAGAGGGACTGCATGTTTATAGCGGTGTTCAGTAAACCCAGTTACAGTGGGGAGGACAGAGTTAAGCACGTTTGGAAGAGCCCTAAACATTCCTGATTTACACCACACAATGTGTCTAATCTGTGGTTGTTTGGGGGAAATATTTCCTGGGGCAGGCTTTGTCTCACCTGCATATTGAAAGGATCCGTCCTCCTTTCTCCAAATCATCTGGCACTGGCCACTGAATCCTGATACAGTTGGGCAGTTGCTCTCTGTGTTAGCTTAAAACGTACCAGACCCTTGCATGGGGAGAACATTCAGGTCCTGAGAGATGGAAGAGAAACCTGTAGGACAATCGGTATCTCTGGATTCAGACAACACTGGTGGGCAAAATGCTTCAGCTTCTCTTGCAGGGATTCCTGGGGCTCAGAGTCTTTCACTGGGTGCATGTGTTGAAGTTAAGAGACTTGTATTGAATTCACACCTCCAGATCTGGACTGATGTCATTGAAAACAATGTCATTGAATTAAGAATCCCTAAGAATTTCTAGCAACTTCTCCACAGATCCAGTGCCATAATGTGGACTCTCTGGAGAGGAGAAAATAAAGAGATGAATATACACTGAGGCAATGACAGACGTTTAGAAATAGTGTCAATGGAAGACAAATACATTGAATGATTATTTTCACCACATACATGGCATGTTCGCACACGTCATGCAGCCATGGACCACATGGAGATGTGAAGGGCCAGAAAGGGTGTCTGTAGGAAGGTCCCAAATGTAAATTCACACAGTGCTCAAGTAAGCTGGAGAACTCCCTGACACAATATATTAAAGGGTCTAGGAGTTTAGGAGGAAACAAACAAAACCTGCATGTTTATCTTGGTAACCAGAATATCCAATTACAATGGTGAGGAGAAATTTAAAACTCTTGGGAGAACCCACGCATCACTGATTGCACCCCAAAATGAATCTAATTTGTGTGTGTTGGGGAGAAACGTTGCCTCCTAGCAGGTTTTGTTATTCCTATTTCAAGGCTTCGTCCATCCTCCTCCATTGCTTCTGGCACTAGCCACTGAAGACTGAGTTGATGGACTGCAGGTCTGCTCCAGTGTGGCAGAGTCTGTCTTCCTGTCAGTGCTGTAAATCCAACATTATGTTTGGCTGGTCTTCCTTGAGCTCCTGGGTATGTGATCACCTGCACTAAGAGCAGAATACTACCTCCTTAAATATACTTGAATCTCTTCTTGTTCCTTTCAGGAAGAAAAGTTCCAAACTCCTTGTTTCTGCTCGGCACATGATGTCAGATGTCAATGACACCACATTCTCACATGTCATGTTCCTTCTCTCTGGGATACCTGGACAGGAAGAATTCCATCTCTGGATCTCTATCGCCTTTGGTTTAATTTATGCTATTGCGATAGTAGGCAATTCTGTCATTCTAGTCATTATAAAAACTGAGCCAAGCCTCCATGAGCCCATGTACATTTTCCTTTCCATGTTGGCCCTCACAGACCTTGGCTTTTTGATAGCCACCATGCCAACAACACTGGGCCTTTATTTCTTTAACTTTAGGGAGATCAACCTCCATGCCTGTTCCCTCCAAGTGTACTTTGTTTACGTTCTTATAGTCACTGAATCTGGTGTGCTCTTGTCAATGGCCTTTGACCGCTTCATCGCCATCAGTAACCCACTGAGATACAGTTCCATCTTAACCCGGCCGAGAATAGCTACAATGGGGCTGATGAGTGTGATAAGAGCACTTACTGTACTAATCCCATTCCCCGTTTTCCTGAGGCAGTTCCAATACTGTCGATCCAATGTCCTCACCCATTCCTACTGCCGGAATGAGGACATCCTGAAGTTGGCTTGTTCGGATGTGGGATTAAGAGGCATGTACGGCATGATCATTAAAATCTTAACAACTCTGGATTCAGACAACACTGGTGGGCAAAATGCTTCAGCTTCTCTTGCAGGGATTCCTGGGGCTCAGAGTCTTTCACTGGGTGCATGTGTTGAAGTTAAGAGACTTGTATTGAATTCACACCTCCAGATCTGGACTGATGTCATTGAAAACAATGTCATTGAATTAAGAATCCCTAAGAATTTCTAGCAACTTCTCCACAGATCCAGTGCCATAATGTGGACTCTCTGGAGAGGAGAAAATAAAGAGATGAATATACACTGAGGCAATGACAGACGTTTAGAAATAGTGTCAATGGAAGACAAATACATTGAATGATTATTTTCACCACATACATGGCATGTTCGCACACGTCATGCAGCCATGGACCACATGGAGATGTGAAGGGCCAGAAAGGGTGTCTGTAGGAAGGTCCCAAATGTAAATTCACACAGTGCTCAAGTAAGCTGGAGAACTCCCTGACACAATATATTAAAGGGTCTAGGAGTTTAGGAGGAAACAAACAAAACCTGCATGTTTATCTTGGTAACCAGAATATCCAATTACAATGGTGAGGAGAAATTTAAAACTCTTGGGAGAACCCACGCATCACTGATTGCACCCCAAAATGAATCTAATTTGTGTGTGTTGGGGAGAAACGTTGCCTCCTAGCAGGTTTTGTTATTCCTATTTCAAGGCTTCGTCCATCCTCCTCCATTGCTTCTGGCACTAGCCACTGAAGACTGAGTTGATGGACTGCAGGTCTGCTCCAGTGTGGCAGAGTCTGTCTTCCTGTCAGTGCTGTAAATCCAACATTATGCCTGGCTGGTCTTCCTTGAGCTCCTGGGTATGTGATCACCTGCACTAAGAGCAGAATACTACCTCCTTAAATATACTTGAATCTCTTCTTGTTCCTTTCAGGAAGAAAAGTTCCAAACTCCTTGTTTCTGCTCGGCACATGATGTCAGATGTCAATGACACCACATTCTCACATGTCATGTTCCTTCTCTCTGGGATACCTGGACAGGAAGAATTCCATCTCTGGATCTCTATCGCCTTTGGTTTAATTTATGCTATTGCGATAGTAGGCAATTCTGTCATTCTAGTCATTATAAAAACTGAGCCAAGCCTCCATGAGCCCATGTACATTTTCCTTTCCATGTTGGCCCTCACAGACCTTGGCTTTTTGATAGCCACCATGCCAACAACACTGGGCCTTTATTTCTTTAACTTTAGGGAGATCAACCTCCATGCCTGTTCCCTCCAAGTGTACTTTGTTTACGTTCTTATAGTCACTGAATCTGGTGTGCTCTTGTCAATGGCCTTTGACCGCTTCATCGCCATCAGTTACCCGCTGAGATACGGTTCCATCCTAACCCTGTCGACAATAGCCAAGATAGGGCTGGTGAGTGTGATCCGAGCACTTACTTTCGTAATCGGATTCCCTGTTTCCCTGAGACAGTTCCAATACTGTCGATCCAATGTCCTCATCCTTTCCTATTGCAGGAATGAGGACATTGTGGGGTTGGCTTGTTTGGATGAGGGATTAAAGGGCTTGTACGGCTTGATCGCTAAAATCTTAACAATGGGGTTGGACTTGCCGCTCATCTTGTTCTCTTACGTGATGATCATCAAAACAGTGCTGAGCATCGCATCCCAGGTGGAGAGCCTTAGGGCCCTAAACACCTGTGTCTCCCACTTCTGCGCTGTCCTCCTCTTCTATACACCAGAGTTCAGCTTGTCGGTGATAACCAGATTCGTGAAGGACGCGTCTCCTTTGCTTCGGATTATTCTGAGCTACGTCTCCCTGCTTGTCCCACCCCTGATGAACCCAATCGTGTACAGTGTGAAAAGCAAACCCCTGCGTGAGCAGATAATCAAGGTGTTCACCAAGTGAAAGGACCGTTCATCACCCCTCTGCAGTGCTGATGACACCGGAGACAGAAAAACACGCCATAGTCACCTATTCGATCCTGAATCATTAAATTTGAGAGGACATGAACTACTCATTGACAGTATATAAAGAAAGGTTCAGATGGAATCTAAAACAGAGGGTACTGGGCTCATGACTGTTTTGTACCCCCTTTGTTTTATGAATTTGACTTATGGATACAATTATTCGTAAGTGGAAGATGCTTTAGACAAAGAACCTCATGTAACTTACCAACGTTACATCACAATCGGCGATATCAATACATATGATTTCTCTTGCATATAAAGTTAGAGATGTTGGGTAGGGAATGGTTTATGGTTTTAAAAGTACAAAGGAAAGCCAGCAAGGCTGTTTCCAATGATGGGACATTTCAAAGTCTGGGCTATTGCCTGTAAGCACCCGATTTGTCTTTTAAGCCTAAGCAACAGTTGGTCTGAGGTAAACATGTGACCACCCCAACTGATAGGGTCTGATCATTTAATTTTCCTTGAGAATTAGGAGAGAGAACTACAATTTCCTGCCCAAAGTGAAATGTATAAGATAGTGGGCAGTAAGCTGTCACTGAGTCTTTGGACTAAGAGGATAAACCGGAGACCCCAGGGATAAAGGATCTTCCCTGGCATGGAGTTTTAGCTGAAAAAAAGAAGAGTTTTAGGGTAACTTTGCTGTAAGCTCGAGTGTTTTAGAACTATTTCTGCTGTTTCTGTTATTTTTAATTTGTAATTTCCTTTGCTCTGCCTCTTTTCACTTGTAGCTGCTTGACCCCTACTGATTGTACTTAATAAAAACAATTTTATTGATTATCAGACTGAGTGCAAATAATTGTTACCTGGGGGAGCAATCAGTGTGCACATCCTCCTTTCATTGTTAAAGGCAGCTACCCAGAATGATTTAATTTGGGTTCTGATCGCATTTGGAGAGTAGGCTTCCTGATTACTGTGCCTGAAACTGCATTCTCATCAGACCTAAACAGAGTTAATGTCTCTATTTCTGTTTGTGGGTTGGATGGGGGGGTTTTTCAGCTCGGTGTCTTGGCTGGTGGAGACCAGAAGATCTGGCCCAGCAGGGCAGGGTGGTGAGAGGCCCCAGAAAGCATGGGGCAAGTGTCAACAGAGTGCAATTTCTGTAGCCTTTTCAGAAAAAAACCCTATCGTAGAGACATAACCTAACTGACGCCATTCTCCTAAGCTGTTTACGCTGTTTACGCTGTTTACACTTTTTCTGGTTAGCACTTTTGTAAAACACAGGGGCTACGTCTAGACTGGCATGATTTTCCGCAAATGCTTTTAACGGAAAATTATTCCGTTAAAAGCATTTGTGGAAAAGAGCGTCTAATGGGCACGCACGCTTTTCCGCAAAAGCATTTTTTTCAGAAAAGCGTCCGTGTCAATCTAGACGCGGTTTTGCGCACGGAAGCCCCGATCGCCATTTTCGCCATCGGGGCTTTTTTCTGCAAAACAGTTTTCAGCTGTCTACACTGGCCCTTTTGCGCAAAAGCATTTCCAGAAAAGGGCTTTTGCCCGAACGGGAGCAGCATAGTATTTGCCCAAGAAGCACTGATTTCAGACAGTAGAAAGTCAGTGCTTTTGCACAAATTCAAGCGGCCAGTGTAGACAGCTGGCATGTTTTTCCGCAAAAGTAAGTGCTTGTGCCGAAAAACTTGTCGGTCTAGACGCAGCCATTGTGTGCCCGTTGTGTCGCCCCCTATTTCCATAAACCATGTCATTATAATTCCGGAAAATTTGATTCTGCTTGGTTTTAGTGGTATCCACTTGAATGATTTCAGCATTTGAAACAACTTATTAGTGGACGTCGCCCAATACCCAAGGGTATGAACTTAGCAGGTTCGGCACTTTAAGCAGTTTACGGTCAACCCTTAACGCCATGACCGAGGGCAAAAGTTTATATTTCCTCATACTTGTCTCATCCTGAGGCCCTCCTGCACCAAACTTTAACAGCACCTGGCTTCTTAGCCAGAACTCTTGTCAAGCCAGAGAAGGCCATACGGACTCCTCCTCAGCCCTTTTCCTGTCATATTTTCCCCAAATTTTTCAGTGGTCACACTCACACATACACCCATTGTCTAAATTAACCATTCATGTGCCATTAGGGGCTGCACACTATAAGATATGCCCAGTGAGGGCCTATAGTCTCCTGTTTTCTTAAATGTGTCTGTCCATCTAAATTCCATTTTCTCATCTTCAAATGGGAACTCTTTCATCTGTCAGGGCTCCGACACTTCCTCTTCTCAACATCCTTGGGCACACTCTCCAGTAACCCGGCACAGCTATAGAGATCAGTCACTCCATCTTGACCTGATGCACCATACCGGAGGCATCATACTACATTTTGATCCAGTCCCTCTCACACAGCATTCTGCAGCAATCTGAGGGAAATGTCTATGGATGGAGGTTTGTGGAAATTCCCTTCCCTGGCCCGCAGCCTGTATGGTCAATACAGGAGAGGGGACCGCTGCAAAAACATGTGTTTCTTTGTTTACATACATAGGGTATGTCTACACTACAAAGTGTAATGGATGTTAGTTAGTTCAATCGAACTAATGGACGTTAGTACGAACTAACGTTAATAGGCGCTACGCTAGCGCTCTGCTAGTTCGAATTTAATTCGAACTAGCGGAGCGCTTAGTTTGAACTAGGAAAACCTCATTTTACGAGGATTAAGCCTAGTTCAAACTAGCTAGTTCGAATTAAGGGCTGTGTAGCCCCTTAATTCGAACTACTGGGAGGCTAGCCCTCCCCAGCTTTTCCTGGTGGCCACTCCGGCCAACACCAGTGAAACTCGTCTACCCCCCTCCCGGCACAGGACCCCTTAAAGGGGCACGGGCTGGCTACGGTGCCCGTGCCAGGTGCAAGCCTGCCAGCACCCAGCCAGCAGACCCTGCACCTGGCAC